GGGAGGGCCCCGTGAACCAAAAAAAAAAAAAAAAAAAAAAAAAAAAAGACATTGTTGGGAATTGTTCTCACATGATGACAAGAAGGAGAGTCAGTTTTAGACAGTATTACCGGTTTAAAATTCTCTACAGCACACGCTCTTATTGCCCCCGCTGCAGCGGACCATTCCTACCTCTCTCTCCCTTGACACCCAGAGAAGGCATAACTGAAGGCCACACAATGGCAGACAGCAGACACTGATCAGGCCTGCCCGGTGTCAAAGCCTGGTCTTCTAACCACGTTGCTATCCTGCCTTGAGCCCAGAGCCTTCAACCAGCATTGATTCTCCCCTCCTTCCCAACAAAGGCACATCTGACAAAGTTTGGAGACATTTTTTGTTGTCACAACCGGAGAGAGTGCCACTGGCATCTAGCAGGGTGGAGGCCAGAGATACTGCCAAACATCCTACCATGCACAAGACAGGCCCCCACCCCCCACCAACACAGAACCATCCAACCCAAAATGTCAGTAGTGCCGAGGCTGAGAAACCCTGCATTAGACAGTAGGGAGGTGTCCTGGGGTTCTCATGGGCTGCCGAAGAAAGATTTATTTTTATCACTGATAACACGATCCAGACAAAGAATGTCTCAGCCTTTGTGTGATGTTCCCTGCGTATAATATGTGTTATCTCTGGTGGTGATAAACAGTGATTGTGTGCAGGTACATTTTCCCAGCAGCGTTGTCACGGCCCGTGCTGTGCTGGTCCGTTTCTCTAATCGGCATTTGCAGTGTCCCCAGGGTTTCAGGCCTGTGCTGGATGCCGAGTGACACGGATTCTGCCCTCCACTGCTCACTCCACTGTTCAGTGTTCAATGGTGGGTGAAATACAATGCCAACCCAGTGTGCTAATTGCTGCGGGTGGGGGCGTGACACAGACCCAGACTAGGGGCAGCAGTGAACTGAGCCCAAGCACTCACTCCAGGCCAAAGGAACGATGTCATGTGTGAGAGCAGCTGTGGGAGGCGGAGCATCTGCCTCAGTTCCCACCAGTGCCCTGGGGTCTCAGGAACAGGGCCTGCTCCATCACAGAGGGTCTCCCAAGACATGCTAAGGCATTTGGCTTTTGTCCTGAAGGCAAAGAAAGGCTTTTAAACAAGGGAGTGATATGATCCGGTTTGTAAAAAGAGAAAGGGAGCAGCAGTGTGGAGTGATGCAAGTAGAAAGATCGTATTAGAAGATAGCTGTGCTGTACACCTGAAATTAACATGATATTGTAAATCAACTACACTTCAATTACAAAAAAAAAAAACTACAGTGAATAAAACAGCCAAAAAAAAAAAAAAAAAGGGGCAGGGAGGAAGGAAAAAAAAGGGGCCTGG